GCATCACTACCCCCTCCTACCCTGCGAATTTCGAGCCCCGGGACGCCCCCATTGCTTAGAACAAAGGGATAGAGTAAAATCGTTCCCCTGCGCTGCACTGGGACGGCTCGCGGGAGAGCTCGTGGGGGATTCTCGTTTATATCATTAAGCAGAGGTTCAAACTCCAGTCCGAACACCACTGGCCACAAGCTTTGGGTTCTGCTCACACGGAGAATATGTATTTGTATAGCATATTTTATTTTAGATGAACTAGAAACAATGTTTAATTTATAAAATGTTATTTTGAAATGTAAGTCAATAACAGTTGGCTGGAGCCAGAGTGAATGGTGAAAGTCTTTGCGCGAGGAGACCCCGCCCCATTTTGGAGGTTCTGCCCACTTTTGGAGTTCACGCCCCATTTTGGAAATCTCCGGTCTGCAGTTATACCTACTTGCTTTTGTGGCCTCAGGAGACAAGCCAAAAGCATTTTTTCCTCCCTAACTGAAATTATGCCTTTTAAACTCTAATATAATTCAAATTTTGATCATATTTAAGTAGGAAATTCGAATTTAGTTTTTCAGTCATTTTGACAGCCCTAAATGGAGGCAAATATTTATTACCACACAGTTTTATTATGTACACTACCATTGGGGTTGAGTTTTTTTTTTTAAAAGATATTATTACTGTAATATTTTTAATAGTAATTATTATATTTCAAATAAACACTGTTATTTTGAACTTTCTATTCACCAAAGAACAAGAAAAATATATCACATTTTCACAAAAATATTAAGCAGTACAACTGTGTTCAACATTGATAATAAGAAACATTTCTTGAGCAGCAAATCAGCTTATTAGAATGATTTCTGAAGGATCATGTGACAAGACTGGAGTAATGGCTGCTGAAAATTCAACTTTACCATCTCAGGAATCAATTTATTTTTAAACTGTAATAATTTTTTACAATATTACTCTTTTTACTGTATTATTTAAAATAATAACGCAGCTTTGATGAGCATAAGAGACAAAAACATGAAAAATATCTTAGCAACCCCAAACCTTTGAAATATAGAGTATAAATTAAATGTATTAACCCTCTGGGGTCTGAGGGTGTTTTGGGCCCTGGAGAAGTTTTGACATGTTAAATAACCACAAGGACCATGTTTAAGAAAAAAAGGGGTTAATGATAACCACACATTATTTGTCGTTTTAAAGTCGGCATGACATGAAAATTCACTGAACATATATTGTAATTACTTATTGATCTTATTGTGAACAATAATAACAAGTCCTAATGTTGTTTACATGTCTGGTGATTTAAATATGCTTAAACATTTATTATTTGTTTAATTGTGCAGTGTAAAGTGCAGTGATTATAACGGAACATCATGAGATCGCGATTAACCAAGATGAGTGACAGATTTTTAGTAATTATAAGGGGAGTACAAGTTGCGTGCTTTCTAAGCTATAATCCATTCAGAATTTGAATAAATTCACATATGTAGTGACTGTTTGATAACCATTTATCCAATATTGTCATTTGCTATAGTGTAGCATTTACTACTCAAGTTAATTAAGTGCAAGTGGAGCAGGTCTGAGCTGGTGTGATTGAGTGGAGGCTGGTTAGCACATTCTTGGATGCAAGTATACTAAATATAAGTATACTGAATATTCATCGAATATAATATTAGGTGTGCATCAGGCAGCCTTTTCAGTGGCGCACGAGATGCGATGACGATGTAAGTGTCGTCGCATTATAATGTTTTTGTTAGCCTGTCCAGTTGAAGCCACTAGATGCGGTGCTGCTGCGTTGTTCATTAAAAATATTGCAGAAAAAGAGAACATCAATGTGGAGATGATGATGTTTACGTCAAAACTGAAACCAAGCTGTTTATACAGAAAGCATTTTCTAGGGGGACATCTATCACCGTTGCACTCGCATCTCGCACAAGAGAGCCGCATGTTTAGAAAGCCATGTAAAATTAATGCAAGTTTAGAATTTATAGCGGGTTTTTTCCCCATCCCACTGCATCTCATGTTTTTAAATGAAAAATGTACTCTGTGTGATTGGCTTTCCGCCCTTTGTATTAAACTATGCATACATACATGATGCTGTTTTATTTATAGTTGTTGAAGCAACTTAATTATATATGGTTTATAAACATTATGCACTTTTTTTCACAGATAGTCATGTTATCTTACTGAATAAACGTGCATTAGTAATATTTTGCTCGATGCACCCTCTTGTGGCATCAGAAGAGAAGCCAAAAGCTTTTATTCACCCTAACTGAAATTATGCATTTTAAATTTTAATTTTGATAACATTTAAGTACAAAAATCGAATTTAGTTTTTTCAGCCATTTTGACAGCCCTAATACTTAATGAGGTAAGGGTGTACATTCAAGCCATTTTAAGAAAAATAAATTTTAATGGGGGAGGGGGGCATTTTAATATGTAATTTTAATCATCAAAATTGAGTTTTTAAGGGACATTAATCGTGACTGCAGGGAAACTTTAAAATGCCACTTATTTCTAGTCACGTATGCCAGAATTCTCCAATCATTTAGACAGTTTAAAACCCACCCCTCCGCAATCGACTGCAAGCTTGTATTCATTTTTGAGTCAATCTCAAAATCCAATCATCCCCACCCTACATTTATTTCTTTTTCAATAATCTGTTACAATCAAATATGCATCTGTTTCATCACGCTATAAGTAGAATGTTTTAGAAAACTGTTTTTGTTTCATTGTGTAGCACTGGAGATGTTCAATTCTCACCTTCATCTGTTATCTTGGCTGACTCTTCAATGATTGTTGTGCTTTCAGCAACGTGGGTCAGTGTGCTGCTCATGTCGTCTATCCCATGCCCATCTCTCTCGTGGTTTCTCAGCTGACTCTGAATGAGGTATTAATAAAACCATCATCAGTGCTTCATAAGGAGGAAGTTTATTAATAAAGCAGAAGGAAGGGAGAGCAGTGCACTCCAATATTAGGAACTCTAGTACGCCAAACTACATGGAGTAAAATTAATACTTGCTCCCCACTCAGAACAGTTGGGGACCTACTTAAATATGTATTGTCAATAATATTGTCAATAATGTGCAGCACAGTATGGGTATCATCATTACCCTGCTGAAAAAAAACAAAAGAAACCATCACAGAAATTCTTATAGTTTCCATTAAACCATTACAAAATTCCTTTTTGTTTTGGGCATTATTCCAATAGGAATTACTGTTGTTCTATTGGTTGCCATCTGCCAGATTACATTCCACCAATAGAATCCATCAAATAGACACCATTATAGTTTACATTAAAACCAAACAAATTCCCATTATAACCCTGAAATCCATTAAATTTGTTATTGTGTTTTGAGAGGGGTTCTATTGTTTTTTTTCTTCAGCAGGCAAGATTATAATGGTATTTACAGAATTAACTTACTGAATTTCACAGAACATATGTTTATATTTTTTTATAAATAAATAACTATTTCTTAAGTCAATTATTAAAGTATTACATTGATTTATTAATTTTAAGTATTTGTGATCTCAAGAGCAAGTGGAAAATGTGCTGAATGTTTCATTTCATCCAAGTAGAATTAGCAAGAAGTTACAGACTGAAATTACATTCGTTTTAAACGCAGAGCCAGGCGCGAGTCGGCACAGATTGTGCGAGTGCGCCAAGCCCAGGGACGCGGGAAGTAGGGGTGCTGAGGGGGCTGCAGCACCCCCTGTTTTCACGTGGTTGCAAATGCAACGCCAAGTTAGTTCATTTAAATTTATTCAGTTTTAGCATTTAATAATTAATTTGTAATGATCTCTGAAATGTAAATTGAATGTGGGCTGTAATAAACCCATGTTTATCTTTATAAACATGATTAATTTTACTTGTGATGTTTTCTATATGGGATGATTAGCCTAATCCTCATGAACACGTGACGCTGGCGCGGGGTATCAGACATGAACTATACATAATGCGAACAAGATTAACTTTAATACAAGGAGATAATGGCGCAAAAGCGAATTTCAGATTTTTTTAAATGCCCATCCCAGCAAAAACTTTCCAAAATCGGCATCCAACACCACCCCCAGCACCGACGTAAGTGAACAAGCTCCAGCACGAGCACGGAGACAAGTAATCCTAGCAGACCCAGCCCAACCCCCGAGATAGATCAGCTACTATCGATAATTTCAAAAATGTGATATGCAGTCAAATTTCCCATTGTGTATATGCCACTTAAACGAGTGTTCATATCGACGCACTTGTAGTGCTTTGTGGAGTTGTCAACTGAGGTGACCCCCCTCCCTGTGCCCCCCTTTCATTTCACCCAACACGGACACACACAGCACCCCCAACCGAAAACATCTTCCCGCGCCCCTGGTCAAGGCTCATCCATACTGCCAGATGCGCTCGTGAAGACTTGCGGTGCGGAGCCGGGTGCGAGTATAAACGAGCATAACGAGATAGGCTGTGTGAGTGTGGCAAGCATGAATGGCTCGTCCGTGATGTGGGATTCGCGCCACGTGGGGCAGAGAGGAGCGAATATGAGAAACATTCACAGACACAGGCTGTGTGCGCGCTCTTCTGAATTAGGAATAGCCAACATGCATTATAAACTTATTTCAAATTAATCTGTTGGGGAGATAAAATGTGTAAGATAACGTTCACGTACTAACAAAAACATCTAAGAATGTATCTTTTATTCTCCAGTACTGAAAACAGAACGGATAAGGGAGCTTTTGATATGCGCTGTGACGCAGCTCTTGCAAATTACCTTTTTTGTATGTTGTCTGTCATTTCGAATCTTAAGTTGCATACAGTTTTCTTTAGTTTTAATTTGCCTAACTATCGATCTGACCCAGTAGACGCCATAATCCCACTCTGTCTCTCTCCCGTCCCGCCCGGGGTTTTTTTTATGGTGGGTGTTTACGCAGTTGGCTAGAGCAGTGCTGATTGGGGAGAACGGAGGTGCGCTCACTCTTGCCCAGGGCAAGTAAAGACTGCAACTCAAGGCTGGCAGTCATGCATTTTGATTAATCGCACTGCCCTAGTGTGAATTGAGTGAGATGTGGTAATGACAGACCCGATTAAATACTTTTTCATTCCAATAGACATACATTCAAATAAATTACTTTTTTAATGCTTATTTCCACCAGACAGGTTTTTTTTCTCTCCTTACCTTGTAGTGGAACCTCTCAGTGCACTGTTTGCAGTTGTACATGCGAGGCTTGAAGTGGTGGATCATGTGACGTTCCAGGTCCTTACTGTCACAGGCTATATGCTCACAGATGGGGCACTGGTAGGGCTGTCTCTGTCTGTGTACACGTAGGTGCTGCTTTATGTAACCCTTGTTTCCGCTGCTGTACAGGCACAGTCGACACCGGTAGGGCCTTTCGCTCCCAGCAATATATTCCACCAGACCGTCTGTAGTGGAAATGTCACTAGGCACAGCAGCAACCCCAGGAACTCCACCTGCATGTTGGCTTTGGGCATTGTCCTGCAATTCTTTCAGAATGTCCTCGTCTGAAGTGTTTTGGTCTGAACGCTCTTGCAGGCGCTCAATTACAGTCAAAAGAGACATGCTGATTCCAACTTTGGAGGGTCCCTCGACCAGCACATCTCGAGAATCTTTTGAACTCTGGAAGCCAATGTTAAGAAGTGCACCTGCATCTCCAACTGCAGCAGCGAGTTCTCCTGAAGACACCTTAAGGTTGGTGGTATCAGCAATCTCTATAATTCTCTGGCCTGTGTCAGGGCTTTGAGTACTCAGGTCATGGATATCTTTTGCAGCGGTTTTGCTGAGCTCTGGGGTCCTCATGGGCATGGCCACCAATGCTTCGGCTGCCAAAGAATGCAGCCGAAGAGACTCTGAGTAAGTCCTCCTCCGAACCGGTGGCATGTTTTCATCCGAGGAAGAACCCAAAGACATCGACTCTTCCTCCTGTTGTCGATCTTCTCCATTCCAGGCAATCACAACCTCCTCCTTTTGTTTGTAGTATACAGGGAGGTGTTGGCTCTCTAAATCTGGCTCCTCAGAGGAAAGAAGGGTCTTGTCACCTCGTACTTCTGGGCTGAGGAGCAGAGGTTTGCTTGACACCGGTTCCTCGGCACAGGGAAGGCGTTCCACGATGACGTTGACATGGCCAGCGCTGTTGCCACTGCAGTTGATAATCTTCTGTGCAGAGGACAGGAGGCTGTCGGAGCTTGCCTGTTGGCTCTCAGTCTCCAACTCCAGCTCCATTTGTGCTTCTGGTGTCACCTGCACCTCCACCAAGTGCTCCTCTGGGTCTTTAAGAGAAAAAACTTGACTAATCACTGGGAGTTTGACCTCCACTGTTTTCAAACCTTCCTTCTCCCCTTGACACCTCACTTCTGGTGAAGCACACAGCTCTAGCTGGAGGCTGGAGGAGCCATGAATTGTCTGAGGTTTTCCTCCAACTGCTGCGAGTACTACAATTGTATCCTCCCTACCTGCTGGAACCAAATGAGAACTGGTGCTTTGTAAAGTATCAGGACAGTCTGTCTCATCTTCAAATATGGGGTACGAGCAGTCAACCAAGCCAGCGTGTTTCCATGCGTGGGTCTTCAGATTACGCTGTTGTCTGCATTCATAGTTGCAGATGAGACAACGGTACCTGCCCTGCTCAAAGCTGTACCACTTCTTCGGCGTAATCGTCTTGTCTGATTCCATATTTCTCACCTTCAAAACTGCCATCCTTTGGTGAGCTCTCCTTGCCGATGCGATCCCTTGCTCATCTAGGATGTGTCTGGCATGATCGCTTTCCTCCAGGTGAAGTCTTACATGTGCCACCAGCTCCTCTTGATGGTTTGAAGTGAACTGGCACTCTGAGCACATGAGGATGAGGTCACTGTGCTGCTCGTCATGAAGCAGCAGATGCTCTTTCAACAGCTCCAATTTAGGGGAGACAAATCGGCACATACTGCACTGGTAGCAGGTGACCGTCCGAGTGCCTAAACTTGAAGGCTCGGATTCGAACATGTGCCCAGGTGTGCTGCTGGATGTTGGGCAGTCATCTCTTTGTTCTCTGGATCTCTTACAAGGTGTGAGCCCTTCAGTGCTGTCCCTGCTGTCCGGAACAGGTACAGACGCACAGATCATCAAGGGTCTCTTTTTCCCAGAGACAGTGCATCGCTTGGGCCGCTTTTCCACGATCTTGCTGAGCTTCTCAATGACCTGAATAAGAGAGTCGGCAGCCTGCTTTTGCTGCTGCCGTTGCTGGTCTTCAGCACCATGAAGACATCTGTCGGGAACGAAGACGGTATCCCGCTGGCCTCTAGAGTGAGGCACAAGGACAGCAACTCCACTACTGTCCTCCATTCCTGGAAAATGAATAAAACGCATGCAAAAACATGAATGAAACAACATAACTGTGTAAACAGGAACTTTCAGCTCACAAAAAGTTGAGAAATGCTGGATTTGGGAACGGTTTGACAATCCTTTTTAACTTTGTGTCAACTGGCAGAGGCGCTCCTTACATATTTACAAGAATAGCCATTACTTCACAAACCTATAAATATCACCCACTAATTACCGTCTAGCAAATCAGTCGTTTCTTTTTTTTCCATGACAGATTAAGTGATTTCTAAAATAACAACATATTGTTCTGTGAGAGCTGGTTTTAAATAATGCTTGTTTGATATGTTACAATATGGTATAACATAGTCAGAAATCCGAATCAGAAAGAGCTTTATTGCCAACTATGTTTACATATACAAGGAATTTGTCTTGTTAACAGAAGCTTCCAGAGTACAGACATAATGACAGCAACAAGACATATAATAAAAAAATAATAAAAATAGAATAAGTAAATTAAAAAAATTAACAATTTTCTTTTTAGATATTTATGTGATATTTAATCACAAGCTGGTATTTATTTATTTTTTTTACTTGTTTGCATTGCTAATAGTATGTATCCGAAAAGCATTATAGTTACAGTCATTAGGATTTATTACATGGCTCAAATAATTGACTATGATTAGTCAATTATTTCTGAATAATGAGAGATGTCCAGGGCAACACTGTATAACTAATTGCTCATCGGTGAAACCGGTTTCTTATATAACTGTGTTTCCGCAATGCAGTCGCTACAATTAGGCTAATAGAACTATTTAACCTCAATTTCATATCCATGTATTATTTTTATTGGTCAAGTAGACCTGTAATAAGCAGGATATTGTACAATCAGCCACACATTATCAACAAAATGAATACTGACTGGTTGATCAGGCAACCCTCTACATTCCTATTATCCACCTGTTTCCGGGGGGCGCTACTTTAAAAAAAGAACGTGGGTACAACTTCCGGTTAAGCGGCTGAAGTAGTATATCAATGGTATTTTATAGGGATGCACCGGCATTTACGGCCGAAAATATATGGCACGCTGCACCGCCCAGCAGTGTTCAGCGCTCAGGTTTCACTCTCCCTTTAGCCGCCGTCAATGTGACGCTTCGATCAATATTCCGCTCGATGAATGTGTGTTCCGCTCATGTACTGCTCATGCTCACCTGAAAAGCAAAGTCCGCTCAACACGCCAGCAGGACATTTCTATGTAGTAAACTTGTTCCTGTTTGCAATAGCGCTGCTGTATGTAACATGGTGTAGCACAGCTGTACTGGGCAACGCATGTAAAATGAGCTACCCTCTCATTCACTAACCTGCTCCCCGCTATGCTCTGCTCACATGCTCTGATAATACTAAAAAATTATATATTGATATTTAATATTAATATATTTTCTGTTCAATTTTTGTGTCACTTTAAGTAAAAGTCTTACAAAATTACTTTATATTATTTAATAAAATAATAATTAGGCTAATTATTACTAGGGATGGGCGATATGGGCTTAAAAATATATTACGATAATTTCTGATATTTATTGCGATAACGATATCAATGACGATCATTTAGGGAATCCTGTTTCTTTAGAGAAAAGTATTATCTTTCCTATTTTTACCCAAAATAGGGTGTTGTGAGGATTACTGAGTACACACGTAATGTAATGAGTGTTTAATTCATACTGGAAGTCAGAGGGTGCCCTTGCGCAGAAACTCCACATATGCATAGTAGAAGTAATGCTCCAGGAAGAAGCATCCAGTGATCGCTGTAGCTGAATAAAACGCATTTTAACTGAGGAAACCTGAAGACAATAAACATGCGATTGCACAAAACACATGGTATCTGTGTTTTTCAAGCAATCTTGGGTATTTTTTATAAGGATAAAGTATATTTATAATGCAATGCTTATCATCATAGCCTTTATCATTGTATATAATGCTATAAAATAGTATGATTTCTGCTTTATTCTGTGATACGAAACCACGTCTGATCACAAAAATAAGTTATTTTAAACACTCGACTATGTTATGAAGTTATGGTATGGTATTAAGTATGGAGAAAAAGCATGTCAATAAATTAAAATATCTTTGTTGGACAACAGGTTTGTAAACGACTCATACACATGAGTTCACATACAACCACGTTCATATTCGCGCAATTTTTTGGGCAGTTGGTCAGTGAACAACGGCTCTGTGTAGCTAATGCTGCTCAATGTGAAAGCACGCAGGTGATGGAGATTTACCGCTGATTACAGAACCGGCTTTCTGACAAGATGCACGTTAAATATCGCATGCGATTTATCGTGCAGCCTACAGTAGAAGGCGCAACACAAAAAAAACCTTTCAGCTGTGCAGCCATTCTGGATTGCATGTAGGACATAGTAGAAAGTTCAACACTCTTCAGCAGTAAAAAACGTTTTATGTGTTATGTTATGTGTATGCATCTAAAGTCGACTCATTTTTGCTCATTAGTATGATTGAATTTGACCATCAAAAGTCAGCAGCAAAGACACTGGTTAATAAAAGAGAATTAAATACATAAAGGATATCTGTGGTATTTAACATATTTAATTATTGCAGGTTTGCGTCATATTCTGAGTTTGCTGAATATGTTTTGATTCATTGAGGAATACTGAATTTACTGAAGTTTTTGTGCAAGTGAGATGAGTAAATGCATGTTGACATTTAGTCTAGAACAGTGTTGTAGAACCGTATTGGGGGGGGGGGGGTTCCCCCCCCACAGTTTG